GAGTTCCTGCATCCCAAAGGCATGCTTGAAACCCTAAGTGAGTGAGTGAGGCATGTAGCCGTCCACTCCTTGTGAGGGCAATGAGGGGGTGCAAGGATTAACCTGATTGTAAGCCCGTGCATTCCAGGAGAGAGTTCCATTCTGTGGATGTAAAGCAGACACTCATGCCTGAAAGAGGGAACACCAGTGCAAAACAAGGAACTTGCCATTAAGGGCTGCGTGAGATGGCTCCTGCTCAAGGCAGGCATTCTGTCACCCTGCCAAGTCTGTCAGATGTAAGTAGTAGCTACTGAGTCTGTGTCACACTGGCTGCAGGATGTTCTGCAAGAAAACTGGTTATGTGAAGAGTGTGAGTTCATGGGCTGATGGAAATCAGCTTTTGTCAGAGCCCATCCTGTGCACAGTGGCTCTATGTGGCCTGCAGAAGGAACAGTTCTCTGAACTGGTGATTCTGTGTGTACGTCACTGAATTTCTGCTTGCACCTAAATGCACTTTGGAAGGAATTTAACTTCTGAATTTGAAGTATGTGTTTTTTTGCCATTCCTACAGGAAACTGCAATGGTGAAACCCTACAGCTTTCAGAGATATAGGGAGGAACACCATGACTGAACAGGCTTGGTTAAGCAGTTGTTTGCCTCTCCAAGCAACTCGGACCTCCTTGTGGTCATTTGCTGAGAGCACTTGCTGCAAAATCAGACTTCAGTGACTGATAAACACACAAATAACTCAACTGCTGGGCGATATGTAAGTGTCTTAGGCACTCACAGGCACTAACGTGGGTCGTGCACAGAGCTCTCTCCAGTTCTTGTGTGCTCAGCCCTGGGTTTCCCAACAGGGGCTTGCTGCTCGCTGCCTGCACCCTGGAAGGAAGCTGTTTGCTGTCACCTGAGGAAAACCTCTCTGCACTACAGTAAGTAGCAGTAGGGAAATAGCTTACATCAAAGGCTGAAGCTGCCGCATTGTTATGCTCATTAACTGCATCAGGCAGACGTCTTTGCTGGCATGGCTGATGCCCAGATGGCTTTCATCAGCTCTGGTCTGCAATGCCAGCAGCAGCCTCTGTGCTGGAGTACAAGGCAGGCAAACCGGGCTGGTGTGCTCTGCTGCATGAAAGGGCTGTGGCTGACACCACCCTTAGAGCTGGAGATGTGGCCCGAATGCAGTTCCCAGCATTGGGGCTCAGAAGTGCTCCAGGCAGATCAGAGACTGGTGGGAGGAGGGAGGAAATGAGCAGAGAGTTTAAAGCAGGCCATGTAGCACAGATGGGGTATGGCTGAGCACAAAATATCTTTAAAAAGATGCAGTCTGACAAGCTAGCATATCCTGTGGCTGCTGGAAATGCTTTACGGTGGGGTAGATAAGGTGGCTGCAGCATCAGAGGAGCTAGGCAGCAGCGTGCAGCTGTGAGAAAAGGATGGAGATGGCTGTATAACAGCATCTTGCTGCTGCTGGAGGACCAGGAACAGTCTGGGCCTCAACGTATGAGGTCAGCAGTACTGTGTCCTGTGTCCTGCTTTCCCCCATCATAGACTGGGGAGAACTGGGCAGTTGCCATCCCCCTCCATGGAAGGCCAATTTTTGCCCATTTCTATCCCATTTTAAGTCTTTTTTGGCTATTTCTAAAATATTTATGGCCCTTTCTATTCTATTTTTGCCAAGTTCTTACCAGTTTTAAGCCTTTGTTGTCTATTTCTAATCCATTCTTGCCCATTTGTACCCCATTTTAAGCATTTTTTACTCTTTCTAAACAATTTATGACCATTTCTATCTTATTTTTGTCCATTTCTTACAAGTTTTAAGCCATTTTTGGCTATTTCTGAACTATTTGTGGCCATTTCTAGCTTGTTTAAAGCTTTTCTTAGCTATTTCTAAACTGGTTTGAGCTATTTCTAACCCTTTTTTGCCCAATTCTAACAGTTTTTAAGCCATTTTGGCTGACTCCGAACCACTTTTGTCCAGTTCTTACCAATTTCTTGCCATTTCTAACTCATCTTTGCCCTTTCCAACTCATGTTTGCCCTTTCCTACCTTGGTTTAACTCATTTTTGCCCATTGATAACGTATTTTCTGCTGTTGCTAACCCTTTGCAAGTCTTTTTTGGCTATTTCTAAACAATTTATGGCCGATTCTGTCTTATTTTTGCCCATTTCTTACCTGTTTTAAGCCTTTTTTGCCATCTTTGCCCTTTGGTAACCCATTTTAACTCCTGTGTGCCTCTTGCTAAAAAAATTTATGGCCGTTTCTAGCCTGTTTCATGTTTTTCTTAGCTGTTTCTAAATTGGTTTGGGCTATTTCTAACCCTTTTTTGCCCAGTTCTAATTATTTTAAAACCATTTTGGCCATTTCCAAACCCTTTTTGTCCAGTTCTTCCCAATTTCTTGCCATTTCTAACCCATTTTTGCCTTTTCCTGTCTTGGTTGCTGTTTTTCATCCCTCTTGCCTACCTCCTTCCACCCCGCTCTTTTCCTTTAGCAAGTTTGGGTCTGCAAGGGATGGATTTATCCACCCTCTGCTTTCACCAGCTGGTCTGTAATTTGTCTGTAGTTATCCTCCCCATTTCTGCATTTTATAGAATCATGGAACGGTTCATGTTGGAAGGGACCTTAAAGCTCATCCACGTCCAACCCCTGCCACGGGCGGGCGGAGACAACATCACACTAGAGCAGCTTGCTCCAAGCCCCTGTGTCCCACCTGGCCTTGAACACTGCCAGGGATGGGGCAGCCACAGCATCTCTGGGCACCCTGTGCCAGCGCCTCAGCATCCTCGCAGGGAAGAGCTTCCGACTGAGAGCTCGTCTCAGTCCCCCCTCTGTCAGGTTAAAGCCATTCCCCCTTGGCCTGTCCCTACAGGCCCTTGTCCAAAGAGCCCCTCTCCAGGTTTCTTGTAGCCCCTTTAGGCACTGGAGCTGCTCTAAGGTCTCCCCTTAAGGAGCCTTCTCTTCTCCAGGCTGAACAAGCCCACCTCTCTCTGCCTGGCTCCACATCCACATCCCTCTTGAGTTGGGGCTCAAGATCTGGATGCAGGACTTTGTTTCCTCTTACGCTGGCATGCATGCGGAGTGACACTTTAACAGCTGGACAGATCTAGATCCTCCCGTAGAAATACCCGGGGCCAGTAAATCAGAGCAGAAGCACATCCTCTGCTTGATCAAGGAAGAGGTTGTTTTGTTCAACTTGTTTACGTGCTTAATTCAAGAAGTTTTTTCCCTTCCAGTCAATTACATTCGTGGGATCGAAAACGTTGTCACAGGAAATCTCAGCTTGATTTGCCTTCCTGGGTTGAGATCATTGCGTTGCTTTTTCCTAAACAGCAATTGCTTTGCTTGCAGGCTGTTTTGCAGCAGCTCTAGGGGGAATTCCCACTATTTTTCTAATCGTGCTGTTGGATGTTGTAACGATGCAGGTCCCCGGTTTCCTCTTGACATTTGGGTACTACCAGCAGAGTTTACGGCTCTTGGTGTTGTCTTTGTTGAATTAGTACCCATGCAGTCTCTCCAACCCAATGGGAGTCCACCACAGAACTCACAGTGTGTTGTCCTTGTTTACGATGCCTTCTGTCTAGGCGATGTAGGCGACTTGACAAAGCTTTGCCGTCATCACCTGCACACACAGAGCTCCTGCCCTCGCTTGGCTGCCTAGAACTCCGTCTGTGCACAGCCTCTCTGGTGCCCGCTCCCCAGCATCAGTAAGTGTTTCTGTAAGGCTTTCTTTTCGGAGGTGTTATATTTATAGGAATGGTTTAGGTTCCCTAAGGTTCCTTCTTGGTCCGGTTTGCCATTTTTGTCATTGGGTTCTGAACGTTTCCTTTCCTGGAAGCAGAGTTTTGAGGTTGCTTTTTACCTCTTGTGTGCTGTGTTGGGTTGTCAGTTGAAATCTTCACTGCTGGGAGACCCAAAGCAGAGCAGTGAGGAGGAGGGGGAAGCAGGAGTCGTGTTTTAAATGTCAGTAGCTCGGTGAAGGGAGCAGCATGCCTGGTGGTTGTTGCCCATCACCTCCAGCTGGGGATCTCGTGAGCGGTTCCACCAACACAGCATTCCGGCCACGCTTTCCCTTCTGGCTTTTTTCAGTGCCCTTGTGAGAAGACATCCTCAGGCACTTTGCTGTTTCAGAACGAAAAACTTACAGGTCCAAATAGGATCACATTGCACAGAGCCCCCCCCCATCCCCTCCCTCCCTCTCCCTCCTCTCACCCCCCCCACCCCCCCCGCCCCTCCCTCCCGCCCAAGAGAGAAAAGGGCCCTTCCCTAGAGCAGACCCGAGGGTGCTTTCTGCAGGAGCACGTCCCCAGCCCTGGATGCTGGCGAGCGGGCACCGGAGCGGCCGCGGGCAGACGGAGTTTTAGGCGGCCAAGCTGGGGCAGGAGCTCCGTGTGTGCAGGTGGTGCCTGCGGGGGAAACGCTGTTGGGTTTGCGCATTCAGGAAGAGGCTCTGCAGTACTGGGGCTGGGCTAAGTTGCAAAGGGAACTCTTATTGGAGGTTCTTCCAGGCTTGTTCGCTTTTCTCGCTTTGCGTTTGCTTTGTAGCAGTTTATAATCACATCCTGCTCTTGCGCTTTTTATTCTCTTTACGCATTTTTATTTATCTGCGATGATTCCGCAGAGGAGCAGGTGAGTAGAGGACTGAGGGGGTCCTCTGAAGAAAGGGGGTCACAGCTGGATTTGGGGCTGAATCCCTCACAAAGACCTTTCCATGACACGCCCGAAACTCGGTGCAGCGGGGAAGGGGGGAGTGGGGGGGCGGTGTGGCGCCGGCGCTCTCGCTGCTGCCATCCTGTGTCCAGAGCTGGGTACTGCAGCCCGGGCTCCGCGCATGAGCCGTGCTGCTCTCTTTGTCCCCGCAGCTGTCCCCGGAAGTGGCCGGTGTCACGTGGTGGCTGCTGGCTTCCGGTGAGCAATGGCCGGCGGGGCCGCGCGTTGGGGTGCTCGTGGCCGCAGCCCGGTGTTCGCGCGCCAGCTTCGGTCCCCCCGGCGCCGTGTCGGTGCCGCATGCGCAGCGCGCGGGAGCAGCATGGCGGCGGGCAGGGTCCGGGTCCCGGCAGCGGCGGCAGCGGGTGAGATCCGAGCCCACCGGGGGTCCGGGGCGAGCGGGGAGGCCTTGGGCGGGCGCAGAGGGACGTCTCCTGCCCGCTGGGAGCCCGGCGCGGGAAGCCTCACAGCGCCCGGTGCGGTCCGGTTGCGGTCTGCCGGGGACGAGCCGGCTCAGCAGCCCCCAGTGCGCTTCATTCTGCCTTCATCTCCCTTGGTGAATCTCAGGCGCCTCGGAGGCTCCTGGCCCGGCATCCTGCGCCTTGCCACTGCTTATTTGAGGGTGAACTGAAAATGTCTCGGGGCTTGTTTCTGGGGAAGTCTCCCGTTTCTCGACTGTCCTGGTGCTCTGTGGACAGGCTCCTGGCTGTGTGCTGTCTGTGCAGGTGTCCAGCAGGAGCCTTCCTCTTCTTTACTTACATCCTTTTAGGGTTCAATTTCAGAACTTTCTGGCAGGCACATGGTACCCCAACTTACTGTTTAACTATGGCGGCTTAGTTTTATAGGTTGTACAAAGGTAGCATTCTTTTTAACCACAGAGCGTGTCTGTCTGCCCTGGGTTCAGCAGTAGCAGTCATTTTTCTCCTTCTTGGTAGTGGTGCAGTGCTGACTTTCTGACTTTCAGCTTGGGAACAGCACTGATAACACCGATGGTTTTAGTTACTGCTCAAATGTTTGGTCTGACCAAGGACTTTGTGAGCCTCATGCTCTGCCAGGGAGGAGGGGAAGCCGGGAGGAAGCAGAGACAGGACACCTGACCCAAACTGACCAAAGAGGTATTCCATACCACAGCACGTCATGCCCAGCGTGCAGCTGAGAGTTACCTGGAAGGGCTAGTTCACTGCGGGGTTGGACTGGGTATTGGTTGGTGCTAGGGCGGGCAGGGTGGGGTGAGTCAGTGGGTGGTGAGGTGTTGTATTCTCTTCCTTATTTCCTTTATCATTGTTATAGGTGGTAGCAGCAGTGGTTTGTGTTATACCTTAGTTAATAAACTGTTATCTCAACCCATGAGAGTTACATGCTTTCTATTCTTCTTCCCATCCCTCTGGGAGCAGGGGGAACAAAAGGGGGGCAGTGAGAGAGAGTCTGCATGGCTGATTTATGTCTGACTGGGTCTAAACCACAACACTGTCACCCAAAGATGACATTGTCTTTAAGCACAGAGTGTGCTTGTTGAAGTGAGGGTATTTCAAACCCTTCTTTTCTTGCAGCTTTCTGTCTCAAAAAGCCCGGGCAGATTTGTGACCTACACTGATGTTCAGGCTTCCTACAGATAGAGAGCAAATCAGTGGAATTACTTCAAACAGTTGTGCAAGCCTGGTGTTAACAGTCCTCGCAAGGTCTGTATGTATCAGGAGGTGATGGAATGCTTCCATGTGGTTGTGGTATTGTGGCAAGTATCCTTTAGGACTTAAGTACTCCACAGCAGTAGAGGGGAGTGTCTCAAACCAGTTCTTAAGGCTCCTGAGTTACGTGCTTAATGAGTTACGTGCTGAGTTAGGTACTGCTTAATTTGGGGCACGGAAAGTAAGTGATTACATGAGTTAGATGCTGTAGCTGGGAGAACTAGTGCCTGGGTTTAGACCCAGTTAAGGGAGAAGGACTTAAATGGCAGCGAAATTTAGTAAGAATCCAGCTGTGCTGAAACTTGGCACCACATGTAGCACCCTGAACTATCCAATCAGGGTGTGCTTAGTCCGCATGCACTTGTACCGATCTTGCTTTTCTATAGATGTGATGTTGTAGCTGCCTAGTCTGGCAGTAATGCGTGTTTGGGTTTCGCTTACCTGAGGTGCTGAGGGCAAAACGCTTCACTCGTCAAGGTTTCAAACAACCCCAGCATGGTCTTTGCACTCTTCAGAAGCACTCATTGGAGCTTGACTGTTTCTTAACAGGCGTGTGGCGTTGTTACGAGCATCTCGAAGGAATACCTTGGGTCTGACCTCACTGTTTCTGATGCTGGATTCCAGAGAGACTTCAGAGTGTACCTGCAGCCGAGGCAAACGTGGGTCGCAGTGAGTAAGTGCCCTTTCAACTTGGTATCTGTTAATAGATATTCAGGAGGTTCAGTCGCTGTCTTGCTCCAGTTTCTGCCTTGGTAAATCTCCTCCTCTGCATATGCTGCTCACAGAAGGAAGCACAATTCTCTTTATGCTTTTTCTGCAAGGCTACCAGTGTCTGTGTAAGGGGCCATAATGCGGTCGCAGTAGTGATGAGAGTGAAAAAGGCTGGTGTTACTAGCAATCTGCTTGCTCTGTAGCAATTTCTTGCTATTTCTAACCCATTTTTGCCTTTTCCTAACTTGGTTTAATCCGTTTTTGGCCATTTCTAACCCTTTTTTGCCAATTTCTAACCCATTTTAAGGGTTTTTTTTTGGCTATTTCTAAACAATTGATGGCCACTCCCCCCCCCCCCGCTTCTTACCCTTTTTAAGTCTTTTTTGGCTTTTCCTGAACATTTCCTTGCCATTTCTAGCCTGTTTTAAGATTTTCTTAGCTATTTCCAAACTGGCGTAGCCTGTTTCTAACCCTTTTTTGCCCAATTCTAAGTCTTCTTAAGCCCTTTTGGCCATTTTCAAACCGTTTTTTTTTTCCCTGTTCCTATCAATCTCTTGCCGTTTCTAACCTCTTTTTGGCCTTTCCCAATTTGTTTTAAACCATTTTTGGCCCTTTCTAATCTATTTGAAGTCTTTTGGCTATTTCTGAACAGTTGCTGGTCGTTCCTACCTTCTTTTTCCCCATTTCTTACCAGTTTTAAGACTCTTGGCTGTTTCTAACCCATTTTTCCCATTGATAACTCATTTTATATATTTTTGGCTATTTCTAAGCAATGGCCACTTCTGTCTTATTTTTGCCCACTTGTTACGCTTTTAAGTCTTTTTTGGCTATTTCTGAACAAGTGATGGCCATTTCTAGCCTGTTTTAAGCTTTTCTTAACTCTTTCTAAACTGGCTTGAGCTGTTTTTAACCCTTTTCTGCCCAATTCTAACTTTTTTTTAAGCCCTTTTGGCCGTTTCCAAACCATTTTTGTCCTGTTCTTACCAATCTCTTGCCATTTCTAACCCGTTTTTGCCCTTGCCTCTGTGGACAGCTATTTCTAAACTGGCTTGGCCTATTTCTAACCCTTTTTTAGCAAGTTTTAAGTCTTTTTAAGCCACTTTGGCCATTCCCAAACCGTTTCTCTGCTGTTCTTGCCACTTCTAACCCATTTTTGCCCTATCCTGACTACCTTTGAAACATTTTTATCCATTTCTAACCCCTTTTATCTCCTTTGTTCTATTTCTAAAAAAATTGCCTGTCATTCCTATCTTATTTTGGCCCGTTTCTAGCCTGTTTTAAGCTTTTCTTAGCTCTTTCTAAAGTGGCTTGGCCGACTTCTAAGCCTTTTTTACCAAGTTCTAAGTCTTTTTAAGCCCTTTTGGCCGTTTCCAAACTGGTTTTGTCCTGTTCTTACCAATTTTTTGCCATTTCTAACCCCTTTTTTTTCCCTTTCCCAACTTGGTTTAAACCATTTTGGGCCCTTTCTAACCCATTTCAAGTCTTTTTTGGCTATTTCTGAACAATTGCTGCTCATTCCTATCTTATTTTTTCTTACCAGTTTTAAGACTATTTGGCTGTTTTGAACCCATTTTTCCCATTGATAACCCATTTCAAGTCTTTTTTGGCTGCTTCTAAACAATTGATGGCCACTTCTATCTTATTTTTGCCCACTTCTTACCCTTTTTAGGTCTTTTTTGGCTATTTCTGAACAATTGATGGCCATTTCTAGCCTGTTTTAAGTTTTTCTTAGCTATTTCTAAACTGGCTTGAGCTATTTCTAACCCTTTTTAGGCGTGTTCTATTTCTTTTTAAGCCATTTTGGCCATTCCCAAACCATTTTGGCTAGTTCTTGCCCCTTCTAACCCAACCCATTTTTGCCCTATCTTGACTACCTTTGAAACATTGTTATTCATTTCTAACCCAGTTTAACTCCTTTGTGCTATTTCTATACAGTTTACAGTCATCTCTATCTTATTTTTGCCCATTTATTAGCTAATGGGCTACTTTTTTTTTTGCTACTTCTGAACAGTTTTTTGCTACTTCTGAACAGTTCCTTGCCATTTCTAGCCTGTTTTAAGCTTTTCTTAGCTCTTTCTAAACTGGCTTGGCCTATTTCTAACCCTTTTTTGCCAAGTTCTAAGTCTTTTTAAGCCCTTTTGGCCATTTTCAAACCCTTTTTGTCCTGCTCCTACCAACTTCTTGCCATTTCTAACCTGGTTTTGCCCTTTCCCATCTTCATTTAAACCATTTTTATCCCTTTCTAACCCATTTTAAGTCTTTTTTTTTTTTTTTGCTATTTCTGAACAATTGCTGGTCAGTCCTATCTTATTTTCTCCCATTTTTTACCAGTTTTAAGACTGTTTTGGCTATTTCTAACCCATTTTTCCCATTGCTAACCCTTTTTAAGTCTTTTTTGGCTGCTTCTAAACAATTGATGATCCTTTCTATCTTCTTTTGCCTGTTTCTTATTAGTTTTAAGCCATTTTGCTGTATTTCTGCACAGTTCCTTGCCATTTCTAGCCCGTTTTAAGCTTTTCTTAGCTCTTTCTAAACTGGCTTGGCCTATTTCTAACACTTTTCTGCCCAGTTCTAACTCTTTTTAAGCCCTTTTGTCCGATTCCAAAGTGGTTTTGTCCTGTTCTGACCAATCGCTTGTTGTTTCTAACCCCTTTTTGCCCTTTCCCTACTTGGTTTAAACCATTTTTGGCCCTTTCTAACCCATTTCAAGTCTTTTTTGGCTATTTCTGAACAATTGCTGCTCATTCCCATCTTATTTTCTCCCATTTCTTACCAGTTTTAAGACTCTTTTGGCTGTTTTTAACCCATTTTTCCCATTGATAACCCATTTCAAGTCTTTTTTGGCTGCTTCTAAACAATTGATGGCCACTTCTGTCTTATTTTTGCCCGCTTGTTACGCTTTTTAAGTCTTTTTTGGCTATTTCTGAACAATTGATGGCCATTTCTATCCTGTTTTAAGCTTTAAGCTG